CCTCTCTCGCTACATTGGTGACCCGGACGTTCCTGCGTGCGTCGGCACGTCTATCTATACCGGCACGTCAGACGCCGCTCGACTTCGAGGTCTGTGTTACGTCTACCCCAACGTCAAAACTCGCACTGCCGACCCTCTGCTGACGTTAGCAGCATGACCTCGCGACACACGGTCCACTCTCGGCCTGTCCGACCAGGCCATCGTGAGACCCGCTTGTCGGCAACCACAGAGACCCGGCACTTCCTTCTTCGTCCTTTGCGCTTCTCCCAGAGTCGCCCACCGGAGAAACACTGCTTACTGATGGCCTATAAACTTTGACAACCTGGACTTGCCAAATGAACACTTTATAGATTGTCGTTCATGTATATAGCATTTGTCGCTCTCTTTCTTTTTTCAAATGCCTTCAAATTGCGCAAAGCTCTAGGGGGGGGGGGGGAGCCCTGTAGTGCCACCATCACCATCATCATTTCTCAATCACCGCGCCGCGCCTCTCACGCAGCTGATGCTGGCTCGAGCTGCGCGAGGATTAGAACAAGCTAGGCACTTGATGTGTCGGACGTGGGAAGCCACGCGGCTCCGCTTCAGGCGAGGAATGAAGTGACGAGAGAACGACACGACCACGTTGGTCGCCGTCCCGTCTTCCTCTCTCGCTACATAACCATTGCTCGATCGCAGGATGATACTCTCACGAATACCACGTATGATACGTACAGAATCGCACGTTGATTGATTGAATAATATGTGAGCTTTGACGTCCCAAAACCACCATATGATTATGAGAGACGCCGTAGTGGATGGCTCCAGAAATTTCGACCACCTGTGAAATTTCACCCACATCTGAGCACAAGGGTCTACTATATTTCTGCCTCCATCGGAAATGCAGCCTCCGCAGCCGAGATCAGAATCGCATGTGAAATGGGAATCAAACTGTTGCCTACGCTATGCCTCAATGAAAAAAAGTCACACCTTTGCCGCAAAGGTGAAGCAATGAACGCGAAAGCAACAAATTGGAAGGACACGCGCATAATGGCAAGCAGATCGAAACGTTCTTCGCGTTTCTCACGCACAAATTACGCACAAAACGTGCTCACTTGTAGAGATAAACGTGCATAGCGTCTCAGAGGTTATTTTGCTGTGTCTGAAAAGCGCGCCTTTTTCGCAAACCTGAGGCTGTGCAATGATTGCAGTGACCTTCGTGTGCCCGGTAACTACAACAGACTTGTTCCAGCACAAGTCTTACGCCAGCAAAGGCGTATGATCTACCCACTGAGAGATAAGAATGCGTGTGAAATCATCCGCTCTTCTCCTCTCAGCGGGCCAAAGTACGCGTGAGAGACGACAGCCGCCACGCACTCATTTCGCCATCTTGCTGATAATGCTTAAAACACAATAATTGCCTCCAGAGATGCCCGCCAACAGCAGTAAAAGTGGTAGATATAAATTTCGTGCCGTTTGAACGTTGAAGGACATCCCCTTGGTGGCTCAGTTTTTAACGCCTCGCATTCGCGACGTGGAGGTCCTACGTCCCATTCGGCGCGCCGGAGTCTTCTTTATGAATTTTTTTGTACTATCTTGCGTTTTCATATACACAAATATGTATACGTATACGGTGCCGGACACCAACGTCGACGCCGAAGGCGGCGGCGAAATCCAGCTGAGATTATTCATACATCGCAATATCGCAATAAAAAATTAAGCAGCTTTCAATAGCTGTGTCAAGCTGAAAGAAAGCGCGGAAGCCAGCAGCCTTTCATGTTTCTCTTCGGTTGTCTCTTTCATCACGTCTTTTTTCATTATACTTGAGCAAACACGACCATGAAGGTGCTCGAAGAAAAAGAGAAAAAAGACTTCCCCGGTGCGAGCGAGTGCCATTGATATAGGTCACTCTTCCTGCATTACGCGAAGCTGTGACAAAACACGAGGATGACAACATCTGGCTGGCACATGACAGCCTGGCCTCTAAAATGCTTCGAACTTAAAACTGATTTCCGTGTAATAGCATCAGTGTTGACATACCACGAACTATATGTTGAGGTTGAATGTCAATGTAGACGACGCACCTAGTGTGTACGCACGTTGTGCCCAAAACAGCTTTATTTGCAAAGACACGTCTATTGACCTCGTAAAGCTTAAACTCAAAGCCGAAACGTAAAGCAAAGACAGCTGCTTTACATGAAACGAATACCGGCAATGTGTCTTATCTCCTGTATTTCCTTATAATTTGACTTCTTTTTAAAAACTTGCGAAGCTGATGGTATAAAAAAGCATTAGCTGGCATCGTGGTCATCACACTTTACTTTGATCGGGCCTAACAGGAACGGGTGATTTGTTCTCATGTATAATGCCTCACAAAGACAAATATTGCCGGGAACTGCCATAACATCTCCATACTGGCATAGATCACATGAAGCTTAATCAAGTAACTTTTCAATAATAAAACAGACTAGTCCGTATTCAAACAGATGGCAAACGTTGACTCAACACATTGATAGGCCGGTGGTATTGTCGGAAAGTGACAGAGACGTCCCCGTCCTACAAGCGGCCAATATTGACCATACCCACAATCGGCTTCTTCATTGGACCACCAGAATTGTCTTCGCCTAATAGCTACTATCAGTGTCATCATCACCCCCTCCCTTAGCCAACGCATTACATTAGAAGAATCGGAAAGAAGCAGAAGCAATGAAAGCGGCGGTGAACTTCTGTAACCATCATTAGCACCGTTTCGTATTCATAGAGAGTCGGTTATCAGATTACACTGACGGAAAATGAAGGCAGCACTGTAAAATTTCAAAACAAAAAGCAAATCAGAACGACAGACGTGAGTTACAGTCGAATCCACAGCCTGTCTTCGCAATGAAGACAGACGTGTCACCGTTTTGTCAAAGTCTTTGTATGAAGAATGCACCCAATTTTCACCGAAATGACAATTCACCGACTCCAATCCCACTGCCACTCTTTTTAGGTGTTATGTTTTATCATAGTTTGCAGTTTACTTCATCCAAGAGAGTCGATATAAAACTGTACTCTGTGACACATCGAAGCTTCAAGCGTTCTTACTATGTGTCAAGAACGTGCTATGCATGCGGGCGTAGTTGTGGTCCACTGTTTCTTTGTGCATTCCTACATTTGTTTAATCCCCTATTTCTCGCACAACGCTGGGTATGAAATAGGGTACAGCCTTGTTAACCTACGTGTCTTTGCTTTGCCTCTCTATTTTTCTACTGGCTCCTAGGAGGCCGCATTCGGTTCGCATTACGCTGGCTCTACGACTGCTGTTGGCGTCGTCGATGGTGGTGCTTTTATGCAGCCCAACAATACAAACGCTTCTACGTCAATTTCTTGCAGGAATACTCACTTGCTGATGTCTATTTCCTTACTTCTTCTTTCTAGGTCGGCAATTATTTAATTTCAACACACATTTGATGCAGTCAGCAGGCTACCTTAAATAACGAACTGCTGCTACCCAATTCATGTTATCAAATTAGTAAGCATGGTAAATTATTGTTGAGTGTTTGCAAGTCGCATTCACTGCATTAAAAGGAAAATTTTGGTACTGCAGTCAGCATTTCGTCATAGATTGAAGAACAAGTTTGCTAACAAACACCCGGGCTTTACTGAAAAAAAAGGGTTGGTTCTAACACTTAGTAGCCACTCCAGCCGGATTCGGACCAAGTAGATAGCTTTCAAGCTCAAAAAACACGTTTTGGAGGTATTAAAGAGCTCAAAGTATGTGCTTTATGTAGCTGTGGTTCTTTTTCACACCACAATGTTAGTGGAACTATCCTGGAGTTTGTCGGCAAATACCATCACTGTACAAGTAAAAACTTCTAAAATAAATTACCCAGTTGTCCAATAGCATCAATAAAAACATATCACTGGCAGTTACCTCAGGGTATAGGAAGACCAGCTTGCGAGTAACGTGAGCAAAACAGAGACTAAAAGATGATAAATATCTAATGTGTTTATTAGCCCAGTCTTCACAGCAGACAAGGAAGCACTACAGGCAGGGAGGATGAATTTCTGACAGTTGCAGTAGTGGGAAGACATCCATAGTGTGATTTGTGGTCCAACGTATCAAGAGCGCTAAGCACAAATCAGATACGGACAACGGTGATGTGATTGCCTCATGATACTTATGAACATCAGAGTAGTTTTGTTCTGTTCATGTTCAGCAATTATGATTTCTGGAAAGTCCATATTGGCTAGCCTTGGCTCAAACTCACTTTCGTTAAGGTGATCCTGCCCGGATGCAAATGCCCGAGCAGGACAAATGAGGTATGGAACTGGGCGTGCAGTGGCGATCCTCACCATTACTCTTTTACGATTGTATAAGACAATATAATTGCATCATCGCTTTTCTGAAATAAAATTGAACAAATCAGCATTCAGAGATAATTGTATTTACTGGGTCTCTGTCGATATCGCAAAACATTGTTAAAGTTTTGACGTGTTTATAAACAATTGCACTACAAAAATTTCTCAAGCTTCAGCACCAATGATACTGCGAGTGTTGCTGCCATAATTATGAATTATTACAGGTACTGTTATAAACCTACTTACCCTTTTACGCTTAAATAAAGACACACCGTGTGCAAAAAGCCCGTGGAAAGATGCTAATACTGGTCGTGATTATCTGCATGAAAAGGGAGCCACGCCCGCGTTTTCCTTACACTCATCCTCTTGGCGCTATTATAACCTTAGTGCATGAATTGCATAGCATTGTTATTCTAGCCTCGAAAATTAACATGGAACATCTGTCTGAGTCGACGCCTGCATCAATACGTAAAAGAATAAAAAAAACGCAGGAATAGTTCCAAGTAGACTGTTATCTGCGTCGGACCTCATTATTTTTCGAAATGCGTTCCTCCGTTTTTATCTTGGCAAGTGGTCATGTCGAGGCGCTATAAGATACTGGATATGCAGGGTCATAATTTTCTTATTTAGCTTACTTCGGTGCATAAATAAGCATGGATCGTTCTGGTATAAAAGCGACCGTGGAGGAAGCACACACCAGCAGTTAACACAAAAGAAGCTGTAAGCTCAAGATGGTAAGTAAAGTCTGATATCCTAATTCCTACTTGGTTCACTAGGCCACAGGTATTTATCGGTGGCCTCATTGAGAATTTACAGAGGTTATTTTCTTATGCTTATCTATTTTTTGCAATCGAGACCATCACAATATTATTTTCAGGCCAAAGTAGTGCATTCCGTGCTAGAGCTGTAGCTGATTCATGAAAATCACCTGCCGGTACTTTACGTAGAATCTTAGTGAATGTCAAACAGTGCAAAATTATGATTACAGGTGCAGCTCAGGTGTTTTTTTTCATAAATATATAGAACTTGGATAGCATTGCAAAGAAAACACCTTGATTGCACATAAATTCTCACTGAAGCAGTTTCTTAGTGGATAAATTGTGAAAACAAAAAAAAACGTGCAATTTTTTTCTGCATACAACTTTGATGTCCGTGGTCATCCTTGTAAGACGCTTTTATTGCCTAACAGATCCGTGCCTGCATTCTTCTGGCTCTCGCCACCAGCACTCTCGCTGGTTTTGTCGGCACTACCGGCTACAGTGTTGGCTTGGCTGCTGCTCCAGCCGTGGCCACCATTGCTCACGCTGCTCCAGTTGCCTCCTACGCCACTGTTGCCCACGCTGCTCCAGTTGCTACCGTGGCTGCTGCCCCAGTTACCTCCTACGCTGTTGCTCCAGCTGTGACCCGCGTCGCAACTCTTGCCCATGCTACTCCAGTTGCTACCGTGGCTGCTGCTCCAGTTGCCTCCTACGCTGTTGCTCCAGCTGTGACCCGCGTCGCCACTGTTGCCCATGCTACTCCAGTTGCTACCGTGGCTGCGGCCCCAGTTGCCTCCTACGCTGTTGCCCACGCCGCTCCAGTCGCAACCGTCGCCGCTGCCCCCGTTGCCACCTACGCTGCTGCACCAGCTGTCGCTGCCATCCACGCCGCCCCAGCTGTTGCCACTACCACCGTCCACCATGCCCCAGCTGTCGCCACGATTGCCCACGCTACCCCAGCTGTCGCTGCCTACCACGCCACTCCAGTATATGGCTATGGCGTTGGCAGCCTCGGCTACGGCGCTGGCCACTACGGGTTCGGCCAAGGTCTTCTCGGCTATGGCCTAAACTACGCCTATGGTCTCGGCACTCCCTACCACTACAGCGCACTTCTCCGCAAGAAGTGTAAGTATATGATCTGTATTACTTTCTAAGTGCGGCAGCGTTTACTAATCCAGTTGTTTCGATCGTGTGGTTCTTTACGTGACGTCGTCCTCAGATGGCATTCATTTTGAAATAGAAATTTGCATTTGAAGGAACTTTTCAACCACGAATCTTGGTTTCTTGCTTTCATTTTCATGAATATTAATGCAACTTCTGCTGGTAACACCAGATATTTAGCAATGACTGCGAGCTTTAATGGGCATAGGGACCCCACTCTTTGAACGTTTAAGCTCATAGAGTATGCCAGAATGCATATGGTGGATTAAATTGGCTGTTCTCCTCCTTGCACTTATGTAATATTCTTCTGTTATTTTTGCAGAAACAATTTGCCCTGTAGCAAGAAGATGGACGATGATGGACTAAATTGTTGCGTCTGTGCCATGATTGGCGCAACAGCGACCGTTGAAAGCCACATCAATAGAAATAAATTCGTTTACTTGAGTTTGTCAACATTTTGTTTCATTTTTGATGGCTTGAATATGAGCATGCTTTTGCCAGCAGAAAGATGTAAAGCCCTTTCCTTACTGTGACAAATTGAGAGTGCACAGAATATACCCGCATCTCATTTGTGGAATTCAGATCATGAGACTGCAGTTGCCACTACAACAGGGTTACACCGGGGCTTTTTTTTTTCCATCAAAGATCTTTGGTAGGAGTCTTCATCTACTGAACTTGTGAGAAAATATGTGGCAAGATTCTGAATATTTATCAAATGTAAAATAGTATTTGCTGGCCCAAGGAAGAGAATGAACTGTGACAATATCTTCTGTGATGGAGTTAGGAGAGTATGTTGATGTGGCATCATCGTTGCGAACATCTTCATTCTCCTCTATACATCTCTTACACTGCGAGGCCTCGCTGTATACCAAAAGGGACGTCGCTATCGTTGCTGAGCTGGCAGCAATTTTAGGCTGAGCTGGACAGATAAGTGGTGCGTTGCGTGGCGCCAGTAGACTCTCGTTGTCCAGCATACCCGGGCTTGTGTCAGGTAGGAGGCACGCGACCACTCAGGGGCAATTTCGAACTCGTTTTGTGGTGAAACACTGACTCACTAATATCTAGCTGTCACTCTGAAGACAATCTACCAGATGCGCACACTATAAAAGGATCCCCATACTCAATAAAATAAGTTAATTAATAGAGCGAAATGAAGCTACTGGCTTCTTCGTGTTATTTACATGCCGGTCAATACCATTTCCTAATGTAACGCTATTGTAAAAACCAGCACGACTAGGTACCAGCGTCCAGCACCATGCCTGATTAAGGACCCAGTATTGCACTGGTACTGGACGCACTAGCGGCGGCGTCCGAGTACCAGCGAGGCGCTGGGTACACTGCGCAAAGTGACCTCACAGTGTTAAAATGGGGGATGCTCATTGGTCCATAAATAAATAAATAAGGTAAAAAATCCATATAGCTCGCATTCACTTTAGAAAAAAAATTAAAAAAACTTTGACTAGATTTGAACTTAGCACCTCTTGCTTCCGAACCCAGCACTCTACTCAATACACCGTGCCAAAACATGTTTCCTGGGTTGTAAAATGACCATTTACCCAAAGAACACGCCGTTCGACTTCACGTTTACAAGTCACACAGTCAAGATTGACGCGATATTCCTTTCCAAATAACAATTGCGTCTTGATCCGACAGTGACGAACGGCTTCCGGGCACTGAATTACGTGCTTATGTTGGCAAGAGCGCAAAGTTTATTGAAGAATCCACATCTTAACTCTCTCAAATTGACTGGAAGAGCAGCCACAGATTGCCGGCTTGCTGCCGATATTTTTCTCCTTTGATTGTCGCTTCTCGCACTTGTTACTGGTCAACATGTACAGATGATTTAAAATGACTTGTTTGGTACATATGCACGTACCCAAGTGAATATTGAGTTTTTTTTTTCGAGCAAACGACGATATGGCGGCATACATCTGGCGTGCCAAATTAGATATTTCGCAATTATATTGATACCTGCAACAAAAAACCGCCGAAGAAATTACTAATGCAATCCACTGAAAAAGTACGCTAGTTTGTTAGTTCAACAAGGCGTACCAAATAACTAACTCGAAATTGCGTGTTAATACATATGAGTCACACAAGTACCGGCTACTGCGCTCGGAAGGAAGCTTTTGGACACATCCCGCATCGCTGGAAGTACGACACATTGATCGTTGTCGCTTCTTCTGCGGGCACCGCACACGCAGAGGAATGGTTGATTTCGGCTCAGGGATGTCTAAACTGTACCTTACTGTCCTTTTTACACTTTCGAATTGTGCTTACATAAAGTAAAAAGCACCTGTAGCGTGTACACCGACGCCGCCAGCACTAGGCCTAATGCCCGCTGGGACGGGGCACTGGGTAAGGCCGCTCTCTACGCTGCTGAGTTGTGATGTTCGAAGTTTCTGCATTTGAGCTTCGCAACGTTTCTTACTGTTACATAAACTGTACCTGAAGTAAACAGAAGGTCAATCATTGCCAGACATGTATTTCCGGAGTGGCGATACCACGCCGCAGCTGTTTTTCTCGCCTACGCAAGCAGTATACAGCGGGCGTGCCAGTGTACAGAGTTGCAGTTATATAATTTAAAAAAAAACGCCCAAGCAAATACTAATTCAGTTCGCTCAAAGTGTATGCCAGGGAGTCAGTTTACTAAGGCGCACCAAAGTACCAATAGTAAATGGCGTGTTGTTACATATCAGTCAGATAGTGCGGCCGGCAGCTTTTGGTGACAGCCTGCGTAGCTGAAAGCGCGATGCATCTATCATCAGCGCTCCTTGTGCGAACATCGACAAAAGGCAAAATAGTCGACTTAGGTTCAGTGATGTCTAAACTTTACTTTATAGTTATTATCACACATTAAATTGTGTGTACGCGAAGAAAGAAGATCCGGTAACATATACACCGACGCGGCCGGCACGAGAGGTCTATGCTCGCTGGGCCGGGCACTGGGTGAGACCGCTCTTGACGTGGTTAGTTGGGATGGCTGAAGTTTCTGCATTTGAGCTTCGGAACATTTCTGACTCTTACCTGAAGTAAGCAGAAGGATAAGCACGGCCAGACATCCATTTACGCGGTGTGGCGGAATCTAAATACAGCTTTTTCTCTCGTCTCCGCTCGGAAACCTTGCGAAGCGGTCGAGAGAGCTCATTTACGTTTCGTCAACTTGGCGGCAAAAAACAGTTTCCTGTTTCTGTTAGGAGTGGCGTCCAGCTCCAGACTTATAAACACTGTAACGTGGAATCACTACAGAAGTACACGGCTGATGCGAATAGGGCCCGTATACGCAGAAAAAAAGTGCATTAATTGCTCCGATACGTACGTACGTCGCAAAAATTTCGTATGCTCCTGATCTTTTACGGTAGAATCTCTCCGGGCCATCGAATCAAGCATTTTGATTTCAACGACACCGAAACATATCACGGCGCACGCTGCATGAATATGCACGCTGCGCCGATAGAAACAGTGCATGCTCCGGTATTCACCAGCGCTTGCCAGTGAAATTTCCAGCTTTTACAGCGCTTTCTAGTGTGCACCATATAACAGCATGTTAAAACCAGGCCAGCGCCCCTACCAGTGCGCGACAGCTATTTCCCATTGTGCCCAGCGAAGTACCAGTAAATACCACCATGTATCAGTGTTTTCAGCACGTATCAGTGCCAAAAAAAAAACGTACTGGCATCACGCTGGGGATGCCATTTTTTGCAATAGGAAAGATTTATAAATTCAGTGATCTTGGTGTTTTTTAAGATAGCATGCTAAATTTTTCTGTTCACACTAAACGTGCACTCATGCGAGACATTCGTTGTCTAAGCAGTGTTTTCAGAATCGCTCGAGAATTAGGTTCTCCAGCATCCTTCCACAATTTGTACACCACTAAATGTCTTCCTAAACTTCAGTACGCATTTGTAATCTGGAACGGCATTGCTAAATCTGGCAGTAACGCCATTTAGCGAGCCCAGATAAAATTCATAAGCATTTGGACCATCGTTTCGCTAGAAATCACTCTTAATCTCGTTCTAACAAGAGCATATTATTAGATGCGAAGCATTTCTTAGTAAACTTCGGCGACTTTTGGCATATCTATCTATCTATCTATCTATCTATCTATCTATCTATCTATCTATCTATCTATCTATCTATCTATCTATCTATCTATCTATCTATCTATCTATCTATCTATCTATCTATCTAGCCACCTGCGTTTGGCTGCTCTCGTGGTCACCCCTTAACTTGGCGTGAATCAAAATTAGCATGGGAGGGCAAGATGATTTGACGAAGATGACGCGCATGTGAACACATGAATAATGTCATGATTCCGTCGCCTACGTCATGAAACACTTCCCGCCAAACAGCGGCGCATACCCGAGGGCGGGTATGTGCCGCTGGTATGCGGGTATATGCCGTAGGGGTTGACTCTTAGTATTCACCAAGGAACGACGAGAACACACATAGGCAATTTTAACGCGCTAGCGTTAAGAAATAGCCGACATCGGTGGCGTCGACCTCACGAATGCAAAGAATAAATGTTAGGGTTCCAGCTGGAATCCAACCAAAGAATTCTGCGTGGCAATGAAGCATTCCACCACAGAGCTGCGCCAGATCTCAGAAGTACTTTTTAAATAGACGCTAATCTTGGTGAAAGATCAATAGTGGTGGCAGCGCTGCCTACCTAAGATTACTCATAATATTCACTTTTGAAGCACTATACCGTGAAGGTTTTCTTTTTTTTTGTTTCAGGATGTATAATTATAAGTACTACAGTGATATTTCCTGGCTCCACGCAAAGAGGGGAACTCTAAGGAAACATAATCTGAATGAGGTAACGTTTAATGCTATAATCAAAACACGAAGGTACATCTCCTAAAGTGTTGATAGTGCAATAGGAAATAGTGTTTATTTGATGGATCGCTGACTTGGTCATCGTTTTATATAAGCACTAAAAAACTTCAATCATCAGCGCATATCTTGTGTATGACACCAAGAAAAGAAGGGGGGTTCTTCTGGAGTGCACAACGCACGTTTGCGACGTTTTGTGGAAGTTTTCTATTGTACAGCGATCCTAAAATAAGGAGCTCTGCAGATTCAATGAGGAAATCACAACTATAGTATTTGTAAACCAGAGAGCTTATGCTATATTCTGACTTATCGAAGATACATTAATGCTTTTCTCGATGACAAAAATTCAATGACTTTTGATTCCAGTGTAAACTGACACTCAGATTCATTCAGCTTTGTCGACCTGCTTGTGTCGGTGTGCGTCAGTACTTATACTTTGCCCGTGAACCCGCTTAAACTTCTTATGGGACCATGGCCTTATCTGTGTTTATGGTTCATTAACATATGTTCATCTCCTTTTTATAGAGCAAATTATGCGTGTACACCACCACTTCCGTCAAATCCTGTATACCAGCACTGCGCAATCATCGCAGTCAAGTCATTGCTACTGAGATGGC